CCTTAATCAGCAGCAAGTGAAGTGTCCCAGGCATTCCTCAAGGAGTTGTTCTTTGTGACCTTGGGTGATGTACCCTGAGCTGTGAGGCCAGCAAGAAAAGCTGCCCCCCACTGCAGGGACATGTCCTGCTGTCCCCAGTGCTGGGTCTGGGGGGCTGGTGGCTGGTCTCTGCCTGCAGAGGAAAGCAGAGGTTGTGCTCTTCGTGGGTCTCTGACCTGATCCCATGATGGGGAATCCCTAGGGATGCTATCCATCAGTCTGGAAACCCCCCCATGCCTGAGATGCTGAAGGTTGGGTGCTGGCCCAGGTGGTCCTGGTGTGGGTCTGGTCCTGGTTCTGGTCTGGACTGCAGCATGTGCCTTTCCTTGGCTTTTTTTGGACCAGTGGAGCCATGTCCATGGGGTGGACTGGCTGATGGTGGGGGACGGCCAGTGCCTGCCATGGGTCTGTGGCTCGTGGGGTGTTGGAGCTGCTGGGGGGAGGCCTGGGAGAAATGGAGCAGAGAAATGCGGCTGCTACAACGTTTTATTGTTTAGTGCTGTGGGTTCAAGTGTTCAGTTCAGGATTTTCATATTGTTCAGGTACAGAGTGACACTGACAGACAGAGACGCGTTCGGGAGGAGGCAACAGCACAGCAGTTTGGTTTCAGAAAAGACTAACTCTCCATTTCCACTCTCTGAACCATGAAGTACCAGCTTTTCCAGAACAATGAATCACCCAGTCTGTGTATAAAATTAAATATAATTTATGCTTTGCTAATTGAAATCAAATACAAAATTCAATTTCCTGTGTATTCTAATGCTGACATTTGAATAGTTTAAAAAAAAAGTGTTATTAACCTGACTCTCTCTCGTTTGGCAGGCCACTCTCTGGCCAGATTGAAATTACTTCTCCTGTCAAGCCCCTGCATTCGCACAGCAGACATGGGGTGCATTTCAGAAAAACAGAATAATTCCCTCAGAGGCCCCCCCACCCTGTCCCACCCGTGTCCCCAGGTCCCCCAGGGTGGCTGCTGGGTCCCCACTCTCTCCCAGCGCTGTGAAGGGGAGCACGCAGTGGGGCAGGGGGGTCCCGTCCCGCTGTGCTGGGGCAGTGGGTGTCTGTGGGGCAGACGCTCAGGGTGGAGGAGCAGGGCATCCTCTCCCGCCCCAGCTAGAGCTTGCGGCCAATATGAAAAATAAACCTCTGAATATATGGCAGAAAGAATGGAGCAAGAGTCAGGCCCAGCATCTCCGTCGGCCAGCCCTGCTTCTGTAAACCATGGGGTGGCCCCTACTGGGGGGGCCGGGGGGCCAGGGCTGGCTGTGCCTGGCTCTGGAAACCCTCCTCTAGGAGCCTTTCTCCAGGAGCCCTCCTCCAGGGTCTGCTTCCAGCTGCAGGACTGAGTGCGACTCTGCTTCATCCCAGTGCAGGATGGATGCTCCTGCCCAGCTGCACACCGTGACTTCCCCAGTGGGGTGACATTTTCAGATCTCGTGTCTTTGCAGCAGTGGGCACGATGAGAAGAGTGACAGTGGCTTGTTGGCAGTTGGGGACCAGATGGTCTTCCCAGGAAAAGCTGGTAGGAGCTGCCCAGGGAGACATGGAGCAGCACTTGAAAGCTGCCCCCCACAGCAGGGACATGTCCTGCTGTCCCCAGTGCTGGGTCTGGGGGGCTGGTGGCTGGTCTCTGCCTGCAGAGGAAAGCAGAGGTTGTGCTCTTCGTGGGTCTCTGACCTGATCCCATGATGGGGAATCCCTAGGGATGCTATCCATCAGTCTGGAAACCCCCCCATGCCTGAGATGCTGAAGGTTGGGTGCTGGCCCAGGTGGTCCTGGTATGGGTCTGGTCCTGGTTCTGGTCTGGACTGCAGCATGTGCCTTTCCTTGGCTTTTTTTGGACCAGTGGAGCCATGTCCATGGGGTGGACTGGCTGATGGTGGGGGACGGCCAGTGCCTGCCATGGGTCTGTGGCTCGTGGGGTGTTGGAGCTGCTGGGGGGAGGCCTGGGAGAAATGGAGCAGAGAAATGCGGCTGCTACAACGTTTTATTGTTTAGTGCTGTGGGTTCAAGTGTTCAGTTCAGGATTTTCATATTGTTCAGGTACAGAGTGACACTGACAGACAGAGACGCGTTCGGGAGGAGGCAACAGCACAGCAGTTTGGTTTCAGAAAAGACTAACTCTCCATTTCCACTCTCTGAACCATGAAGTACCAGCTTTTCCAGAACAATGAATCACCCAGTCTGTGTATAAAATTAAATATAATTTATGCTTTGCTAATTGAAATCAAATACAAAATTCAATTTCCTGTGTATTCTAATGCTGACATTTGAATAGTTTAAAAAAAAAGTGTTATTAACCTGACTCTCTCTCGTTTGGCAGGCCACTCTCTGGCCAGATTGAAATTACTTCTCCTGTCAAGCCCTTGCATTCGCACAGCAGACATGGGGTGCATTTCAGAAAAACAGAATAATTCCCTCAGAGGCCCCCCCCCATCCTGTCCCACCCGTGTCCCCAGTTCCCCCAGGGTGGCTGGTGTGTCCCCACTCTCTCCCAGGGCTGTGAAGGGGAGCACGCAGTGGGGCAGGGGGGTCCCATCCCGCTGTGCTGGGGCAGTGGGTGTCTGTGGGGCAGACGCTCAGGGTGGAGGAGCAGGGCATCCTCTCCCGCCCCAGCTGGAGCTTGCAGCCAATATAAAAAATAAACCTCTGAATATATGGCAGAAAGAATGGAGCAAGAGTCAGGCCCAGCATCTCCGTCGGCCAGCCCTGCTTCTGTAAACCATGGGGTGGCCCCTACTGGGGGGGCCGGGGGGCCAGGGCTGGCTGTGCCTGGCTCTGGAAACCCTCCTCTAGGAGCCTTTCTCCAGGAGCCCTCCTCCAGGGTCTGCTTCCAGCTGCAGGACTGAGTGCGACTCTGCTTCATCCCAGTGCAGGATGGATGCTCCTGCCCAGCTGCACACCGTGACTTCCCCAGTGGGGTGACATTTTCAGATCTCGTGTCTTTGCAGCAGTGGGCACGATGAGAAGAGTGACAGTGGCTTGTTGGCAGTTGGGGACCAGATGGTCTTCCCAGGAAAAGCTGGTAGGAGCTGCCCAGGGAGACATGGAGCAGCACTTGGACCAGACAAAACCAAGGCTGGGGTGTGCAGGGAAACCTGTTGGGTGGGGATGGGGATTCTCAGGAGCTCCTTCAAGCTCGAGGAGACCTTGCTTGGAGAAATACTGCTCCTGGTTAAATTGTGGGTGGTGGCTGAGGGAGTCCAAGCTTTTTGGCCATGGAGGTGGTGCACGGTGCCACACTGGCAGCCATAACAACCGTGGTCATGCTCAGTCACCAACCTGCCAGGTCCTGGTGATGGCATGAGGTGGGACAGCATCCCCTGCAGCCAAGCCCCCTCGGCAGGCAGCCAGGGCTGCCGGTCCCACCATCTTCGTTAGCAAGCTCTGCTCAGCACCACCAGGACAAGTTCACCATGGTGTTAGGACTGCAGCACGCTGGGAACAAGGAATAATGTCTGGATATCCCTCCGTTGAGGAGCCTGGACACTGGGCCTTGGTGAGGCCCTCGTCCGCCAACTGAATCCATCAAGCAGCTTGCACAAAATTGTGTAGCAAGTTTTCACGTAGGAGCTGATTTGACATTTTAATAACGTGTGAAACACTGTAAAATTATTCCTATTACATGCTTCCAATTTTCATGTAATAATTTTGGGATTTGTGGGTCTGTGAAAAACTGTGTTATGTCAGGAGCTGTTTTTAAATCTAATCAGGCTAATAGGAACTGACATGACATTAGAAGGGACTTTGTGGTGCCCCTCCAGCATGGCCCAGGGTGTAAATTTTCCAAATGGCTTCAGCTCTTTTTTCATCCAATCCAAGGCACCAGAACCACTCCATGGTGTAACGAACCACAGGACAGGCCATGAAACCCAAAGCAGGTTCAGCTTGTTACCCAACGTAACAGCAATTTCACTTGGTTAGCTGGATCAGTAGGGATTTCTTGCCACCTTAATCAAAACTGAGTCTTGGTCCTCCCGCAGCAATCCCGCACTGCATCTCTGCTGCTTTCCAACAGCCAGGGACCTGGCACCCAAAAGGGGACCGGGGACTCGTACACAGCTGTGCTCCAGCCGGGAGGCATCCTTACCATTCATTAAAACAAAGCAAGCAGCCAGCAATATCCGAGTGCCTTTAGAAATCATCCATGCGAAGGGAAGGTTTCAGCAGTGGTATTTTTCCTTTCATTCCCTCTCTCACTGTTTTTCTCCCAGTTATGGAGATGGAACCAGTGCAGCTCTGTCAAAGAGCTGCTGTCCTGCTCTCCGCTGGTTCCAGCACGCAGCTCTCATCTCATTGCTGGAGGATCCAGTTGGGATATGGATTTATTCTACAGTTTCACCAGGATTTGCAAATTTGGTTGACTGGGGCATTTCCACGAGAAACAACACGTTATTTTTTTTTTTTTGCCTGAAGCAGTGCTCACCCTGGGAATTAATTGCTTTTTTGTAATTCTGAAGTAACGATGAAGGCTGCTTCCCCATTTTGCTAACCTGGCTGTGAGCAGGAAGTGGCAGAGGTCTCCTTTTCAAGGTGCAAACGAAGGGCAGTGCCAAGGGCAGTGCCAGAGCCCAGGCTGGGGCTGTCCCTGCAGTCACCCCCTTGGTTCCCACCAGGAATGCCTGGCTCCAAAGCACGGAGCAGGGCATGGCACAGCCTCGCCAGGAGGCACTGCATGGGCACATGTGGCACTGCACTGCACCTTGGCCAGGTGGAGAGACCACGGCTTGCTCCAAGGGGGTGCCTGGGAATGGTCTTGGAGACAGCATCAAGGAGGAGCAAGAGGGCTCCGACCTCACTCGGCATCCCAGTAAAGCAGGAATGGCTCTCTTCCAACAGCGGCGTTATACCCACCTGTTGGGGGAGAATCAGGCCCAGGTGTTTTGTGGCACTTGGTAAATACTAGTTTTAGTGCAACAAGTAATTGAAATGTCTGGTGCAAATGAAATTTCTGCACATAGTTCCTTTGCAGCATAACTGGCTTTATTCCTTCCACACACAAATACCAGTGTGCATGTGAATGCACGCGTCCTGAATTTATCAGGTCTGATGCTGCTGTTTGAGCAAAACTAAAAGCCAGGGCAGGAGAAATCAAACCTATTGGTTTGTCCCAGTGCTGCTGGGTTTTGTGAGCCACCCTCCTGCTCAGCTAGCCGTGGCAGGAGGCACTGGTCCTGCCTGCCTGGCCATGAGGGGGACACCAGCAGCAAACAACACGAAGCATCCCATCACCCCAAGAAGTCCCAGTCCCTCCACCTTCTCCTCCTCCCACCTGCCCCCTGATCCCTCAGCGTCATGGGAGGAGAGCCCGAGTGCAACCCAAGGTGACATGTCACTAAGGTTTCAGAGCTGGAAACACGGGGCACCGTTGGCTGCAACCCTGACAGCGCAAGAGTCTTGCGCTCGCATGGCTGAGCCTCTAGCCCCGAGTGAGTTTTGGGTCTCTAACGATGATTTGCATCTCAAAAGAAAAGAGCTTATTTCCTGATTTCGTGGTTCTACTTATCACTTTCTTCCTGCTCCCACTGGAAATCTTGGCCCGTCATTTGGTAAAACATGACATTGAACGGTTTGTAAAACTTCCGCAGTCTGTGGATGACGTCTGGGTCTATTTTGGGGTGAGTTCGACCCTTGGACTTGCCCAAGCACCGGGGAGCACTGCTGTCCTCTGGCTTCTTTAGACAGGGGAACCCCTTGGTTTTATTAAAGTAAAAATGTTTCTCTGTCACAATCCTCTTGAGGCCTAAGAAGTCCTGGACCTTGGCCATTTCCCCGGCGGGGTCAGTGATGAGCCTCTCGCCACTGACAAAAAGGATTTGGGAGAGGGGGAAGTACTGGAGCCAGTTCTCCAAGTGCAGTGCATAGATCCCGATGCGGATCGCGCTCCAGGAGGCATCGATCAGCCCCAGGGTCCGGTTCTTGAAGGCCAGCACCTCAAAGGTGGGGATCTCCGGCTTCTTGGAGAGTGTCTGTGTGTAGTCTGAGATGGCCCGGGTGACCGGGTTCCTCACCACAACGATCAGCTTTGTGTCCTTAGCCATGGAATGAATGCGCCTTGGGGCCTCATTGGTCACGAAGTAGCTGGGGGTCTTCTCCATGGTGATTTGGCCATCCAGCGTCTTGGGCATCACGTTCCTGTGCAGAAGCAGAGGAGGGGTGGTTAGCAAGGGGCCAGGCATGGGTGGACAACTCAGTGTCCCTCCTGCCCCATGCAGATGTTGGTGGGACATTCAGGAGGAGGGATGTTGCCACACCTGCGGGCCCCAGGACCAAAGCACTTCTGGCTTTGTTGCTTCTTGGACCCTGGGCAAGGTGGGCTCCTGAAGTGTTAAATCAGCCTTGGTAACACATTATACAGTCAATTCGCCATAGGCATATGTAGACAAAAGTTAATTGACAATAAACCTGTACAATACCTGTCTGTTCAGCAAGCCATCTGCTTCCATTTGCTCAATTAAGCCTATTCACTTCAGAGTCTTATACCAGAGTGGTGCAGTTAGGATTACACAAGACCTTTTTGTTATGATGACATGCTTTTAAATGTCTCAGCTAATAAAACTTAATACAGAATAAGATCCCTTGCTTCTAGTACAATAATTAAATTTATTTACTATCTTGTGTGTGAGAAAGAATGACTTTTCTTTTATCTCTAATTCACATACTCTGTCAATAATTAATTGCTGCTGGGTTTTGAGCTTCCTGTGCAAGCACTTTTATTAGCCAAAAGGAATTTGCCTACTGGATAAATTAGCATGTAGCAAGACTTTCCTGGATAGCATATTACCATATTGTAAAATGAAACTGCAGCGAGATAGCATTTATATCTAAGAAAATGAAGAGGTAAATGCTTGTCCCAGCTGCCCCCAGTTAAAGATTATCATAGCAAGCTGGAAGGTATTAAATGATGTCCCCTGCAAGTGCATTACAGCCTCTTTCACACCTCCGGAGGCTGGAGAGGCTGGAGGGCAGTGCCAAGGCTGGCCCCAGCCTTAAGCCATTCAAATGCTCATACCTAGGCACAACCACACGAAGAGTAGTTTGTTTAACCTGTTGTTGGCTAATATGACCCAAAGAGGAGGTGCTTGATGGTGCTGCTGCTGGGAAGCCCTTGCAGCAATGGCCAAGTCTCCAGCAGCAGACACGCAGGATGGCGATGCTCAGGGTCTTGCAGGATTATCCCTTCACATTGCAACTATTTTTAGTACAAACATATGGTGAGGAAACAATGTGAATAGGCTGGAAATGGTTCTCTAAGAGCACCTTGGGCACCGGTGACTGCAGTGATGCTGACGTCAAACCGTCGAGCCCCAGGAAACAGCCATTTCAGGAATTACGCAGCTGAAGCCTGCAAGCAGAAGTGGCTGTCAGGCAAGACCCAGCTAGGTTTGCCTGTCGGTCTTGCCTCATATTTGTGACTGCTAAATGCATCGGCTTGCTTTAAAACTCTCTGTGATGTGTGTATTTACTCCTTGTTTTGCCAAAGCGCTGCTGGCGGAGGTGCCAGGTCTCCTGCCAAAGCAGGAGCAAAGGTGGGTTTGGTGCTGCCACAGGGCTGCTCATGCCTTCAGCATTTTGGGGTGAAGAGGCCAGTGGAGTCCTGGGCCTCCCCCTCTCTTACAGCCAGCTCTTGAGGTATTTTACCTTAAGAAAAGCCTGAACAAATTAAGAGGGATGTAAGCACTTGAGGACTGCGAAGGCTGAAGAATTGCAGACTGGCTTTCCTGGGGGCATTATCCAGCACCCAGATTTAACAGCCCTGTAGGAAGAAAGCATCTTTTATGGCTATCCACATCACAGCAAGGCCCACGGTGTGGTCAAGGATTATGTACCTACAAATAGGGTACCCTTTGGCTGAGTGTGAGGATGTGTAGGGGAGTGGTGTGAGGGACGTGCACAGAACATGAGACTGGGAGGTTGAGCACATGGGCAGGCAGCAGCTGCCTCAAGGAGGACCGGAGTAGAAGTGCTCCCTGCTACTCTCTGAAAGCATCTGATGGACAGGAGAACATCACTGATGGTGGGAGCAGGGCTTCCCCTCCCCAGCACCCACACTCCAGCTTGCCACTCTGATGGGGACAGTAGCCAGCTGGGCAGAGGCAGCAGTGTCTGAGAGCTGGCCCTGCAAGAGCATCCCACTAAACTCCCAGAGCTAGACTGGGGCTCACCCGACTTCTCAGTCTCTGCATGATTCTGACCACTGTTTGTATTCCCACAGAAATCCCATTTACCCAGCAGCACGGCTCTGACAGCGACTGGCCAAAGATGATAACCCTCAATTTCAGGATGTGACCCACTGCAGGAATCTCCCCGCTGCAGCGTCCTACTCACTGCCCTTGGCCAGCACTGCCTGTGCACGCACAGCGAGCCTGCGGGGCACCAGTCTTTGGTGTGCTGACCACAAAATACAAGCGTGGCTGTGTAAAATTTCCTGTTTGATTTTTATTTTTATTTTTTTAAATATTGCTTAACAAACTTGGAACTGGAACGCTAAAATTTCCGCATGGAAATTAGGTCTCGGTCTTGACGTGACAGAACAGTCAAAGAAGGAAGAGAGCTGGGGAGCTGAATGGGAGAAGAGCTGGTGACTGCCAGGCAGCTCTTACAGTTCCAGTGCCAATTGCCGGTGGTTGAGGAGGGGGAGCAATCCACCTCCAGCAAGGACTGGCACTGGAAACCACTTTGGCAGTGGCTGGACCAAGCACTGCACAGACTGAGCCACAAGTTCTGCCCCAAAGAGCTTCCAGAAGAAGAGTTGGGAGCCTGTGAGGAGGAGTAGCAGCCAAACCGTGCAGGAGCCAGCGCCTGTGGCCGTCCTTGGGGCTGTGTGATCGGCCTTGGAGAGAGCACACGGAGGAGTAAAGCAAAGAACCGAGACCAGGGAATAAAGGCTCTTCCAATCCAGTGACTTTGCCCAGGGCGCTCCCGGAACAGGTTTCTATCGAACCATTAATTACCAAAATCAATCTGTTACTCTTCTGTTCCTTGCTCCACAAAATAGTTATTTTATCGTCAGCTATAGCTAGTAATTTTTATGCATTTCCTTTTTAAAGGATTCACACTAGCTGCAGACCACGTTTTACCCTGCTGCTTGCTGTTCTGTGCTAACACCCAGAGCATCTCCAGAGCTGCCAGCCCCCAGGGACAGAAGTACCACAGCCTGGGTGGTGGCTGGGAGTTTTCCTGCCAGTTTGCCTGTCTTTATCACTGGTAACTAATGGGAGCACCTGAGGAAGGATGGAGAATCTCTCAACCAGCTGTGGAATTACTCTGCCCATGCTCCTTTCCTCCTGACACCTATCACTGAAGATTTAATGAAGTCCTGAAGCAGAAAGCTTTAGTATTGCTTCTCAGCCTCTGTAGTTGGTGCCTGCTCTAGATATGGTTAACGTGAACAGAGGTGTCAAGTCCCTCCTGTTTCTTACTAAATTCTGTGCTCAAAAACATCAAGCAGCAACATGGACTTGTCCCTCCTGCTTCATGCCTGCTCTGTGTACACTATGGATGGTCCTGCTCCAAGAGGATGGGAGAACAGAGCTCTCCACCTTCTTCCTTTATCCCAACCTTCATTTTACAGCATGGTAAAGTCTGAAAGGGCTGGACCAGCTCTGGTGCTCCCTTTGCCTCCTCTCCACAAGAATAGTGAAGATCTCAGCTCAAAGCAGGTTCTCCTGAAGTATCCCTTCCAGGCCAGGGGCTTTTTGGTTCTGAGCTGATAACAGGGGTGATGCTCTGGGAAGGCTGCCCTGGGGCAGTCATTCCTGCTCTTGCAGCTCCAGTTAGGAGCTTGGATCAGGGCTTTGAGACAAAAGGGTCAAATGGGACCAACAGGATTGCAGTGAACCCGTGGTATGTGGCACAATGGGGAACAGGAGGAGGCAGCTCTGATTTTTGAGTGATTTTTCAGCTGAGACAGTGGCAGCCTGGATAACAGGAGAAGTAGTAGTGTGTAAAAGCCCTTCTGCCTTGTAAATGGTGCTGGGCTGCCAGGCGAGCAGAAAACACCATTACCCCATGGTGTTCCACTACCCCAACATCCACACAGCAGCACCCCACACTTGTTTGTGCCGTCTCAGACAGGATAAGCTGTTTTCCTTTGCAATTGTCTGAGCAGAAGGAGGGACCAGCACAGGCAGAATTGGCTGGTGTAGGCTCCTCTGAGTCAGACACCCTGGCAGCGTGCAGCAGGCTGTCAAATGTCAAAACGCGGCGATTATGAGATGCTAAAAGCTCTGCTGGACTACCAGCGGTGGACTCTCAGACAGTAGGGCTCGAGGGGACCGTCGCCATCATCATCTGCTCTGACCCTCTGTGTGGCACAGCAGAAACCTGCCCTGGCCCACCCAGAGCACTGTTGCACCAGCACGTCTGCTCTGCAGCGATCTCCCGGGAGCAGGGGGGGCAGGTGGTCTTGGGGGAGGTCCTGTTGTTAGTTAACACCAGTCACAGCTCCTTAGCACCTCGGCTGCAGTGTGAATTGGTCTAGGCACAGCCACTGGCTTAGTGGTTTTTTTTGTAATACATCTTTGTATCTGGAATCTCTCCGAGCTGAAAAGATGCTGTTCTGCAAATAAGTGCCTGTGGGCTCTCAAAAGAAAAGCTGAGAGCAAATGGGGGCTGGCTGGCCCCCTGCCCCTTGTGCTGATGCTTGAGCTGTGCAATCAGACCGGAGGGTGGTACTGGTATTTGTGCTGCATTTGCTTCTGCTCCCCCCGACCAGCATCCCCCCGGCACCGAGAGCTGTCTACAGCCACCGTGACGTTTGGGCAGGTTCCCAAGGACCTGATGCTTGCACAAGCCCTTGTTTGCTTTGTATTATGGATTGTGTCTGTGATTTGTGGGTTTTTATATGACAATGCTTTAAAAGAGATGAAAATTAATCAGAATTCAGAGGAAGTACTGCTGCTCTCCTTCACCCACGCTGCTGCTCCTGCCCATCCTGCTGCTGGCAGGGCTTGGTGACAGCCAGGAACGGGCTTCCCTCTCCTTCCAGGCATTGCCATGCCATGGCAATAACCCCCTCATGGGCATTTTGTAAACAAGGATTCGAGTTCCCTCTGCTCTAGGGTCAGAGCAAGACAATTGTCTTGCCTTTAATATTATACTTACTTAGCTTTTACTTTAAATTATGGTTTCAA